CAGCCTCTTTCTCTACAGCACAACGGTCCATATTTCTTTTCCATTTCAAGGACTCCACCTTTATCATGTCGACCTCCTCATGGAGCTTCTCGATCATCTCAAGCTTTTGCTGTAGCTGTGAGACCTAAAGATTAGCCATCATTCCAGTATCGAGTCCATAGGCTTTTAATAGTGTCATTACCTGCTCGGACAGATCGGTCTGATCTTGGTGAGCTTTGGCCAACTCAGCTCGGAGGTCCTTGATTTCTTTTCTCATTTGCTCGGAGGTCCTCTCCTCCGTGGCCCGTTGGAGATCGGCCTCGTATCGATGTAGCTTGGGATTGAGAACATGCTTCTCGATGAGCTACCATGACCTATGAAGAAAGAAGAAACAAAGTATAAAAAGAAAAATAGACATAATAGATAATACCAACAAAATAATTTAAGGCTTACCTGATTCAAAGCCTGCTGCACTCCGTGAAAAAGAGCCGATGCATCACTAGTGCCGGCAGCATCCTCGACATCGGTAAACATGTCACAAAAATGATCCTCACCCTCATGAGGCCTGTCTAGTTCGAGGGCCCCCAAAGCTTGGGCTTCCCGAATCTCCCCTTCAGAAAAAGCAGGGAAGGTGGATGAGTCTTCGATTGCTACTGCCCCAAGTGAGTCACTTGGGGCATTCTCTTCAGTTTGAAGAGATTCGGGGAGAGTCCCTTCAGACATATCGCCCCATCTGTTGGCTTCGATAGGAATCATCCTCGATCTCCAACGACTCGGGGACTCTGCCCGAATCTTTTTCCGATATATCCTCAGTTCGAGGTAGAGCCTTATAAACCGCCATCGATCCAACTGCCTGTGGAACGTCGGTGGTCTTCTTCGATCGGGCCACCAGTACGGACCCGTCGTCTCCCTCTTCCTTATCTTCATCCCTTAGATGCTGGACCGATTCTAAAGTCAAAGGGATAGTATTATTCCTCGACTTACGAGTTGACCTTGCCTTAGATTTTGGATTTTCGGAAGTAGAGGCCCTTTTTCTCTTAGTTCCCTCTGCCAGTTTAGAAACCGGGTCCGAGGCTTCTTCCTCGCCGGGTAGGGGCCTCAAAACCACATCTCTTCCCAGGCATACACACAAGAAAATCGGTTGAATATGTGGAAAATATTTCATTCGAACTCTCAAAACATGAGAAATAGGCTTACCATGATTTTTGGCTTCCCATCAGCCCTTTTCCAAATCACGCCACGAACGTTCGGCCTATGTAGAGGTCGAAGCCAGGGCCCGTACCCATCTCTTAAGGTCAGGAATGACACTGGGCATCCAAGGAACCGCTGCATCACAAAAGAGATATCAACAAGAAAGAAACAAAGAGACAAGGCGATAGGGAATAAGAAACAGAATTACACTTACGTTTCATATTCCATTTTTCAGGGAATGGCATCTTTTCGGCTGGGATCAGGTCTGAAGTCTTCACGCGAATGAACCTGCCCATACAACCTCGATCTTTGTCCTCATCTATGCTCAAGATCAGTACCTTGGTAGCCCGGCGTTGAAGTTTTATTAATCCACCTCGAAAGAGGCGGGGACTATACAATCTAATAAGATGATCGAGGGTGTAAGGCATCCCCTTAATCTTGCTTACAAAGAAACAGATCAAAATAACGATCCGCCAAAAGGAAGGATGAATCTGACCTAGAGTTATTCAGTATTGATGAAAGAAATCAATGATAACAGGGTCAAAAGGTCCTAACGTAAAAGGGTAAGTATACATACTAAGGAACCCTTCCACGTGGGTGGTAATATCTTCATTGGGAGCCAGAATTACCACTTCCTTGTTATCCCAGTTGCAATCTGTCTTTAACTGTGCAGGTTGCTTTTTGGTTATCGAGCACAAATATCTCGATACCGGCTCACACCGTCCGGGAACCAACGAGCCCTTATCGACCTTAAAATCAGAGGTGAGAAGACACATTCCGGGAACAAACTCCTCAGGCCATGGCTCCGCCAGTGTTTTACCGGCGGCAGGCTGTGAAGAAGAAGCCTCTTCTTTTTGAGAGACGATTTTGGATGTTTTCACCATTTTTTGAATTTAGAAGAAAGAAATAAAGAAGATGTGGTGTTTCAAAGAGAGATTTGGCAGTAAAAACCAGAGAAGGAAAATTTCGCACTTAATTTAGAAGGTATGAGAAAATGCTTAGGAAATATTTGAGATTAGAAGATCTAAAAGTCATTAATGGTGAAAAAAAGGGATATTTATTGGCTGAGCAGTGACGGTCCAATATCGGTAATGGCCGACCACCATCTGACGCGCATTAAATGCCTCAGTAAACTGAACCGATGGGACAACTATCGTGTACGTCACGATCGGATTCGATGCACACGTTAGTATATATCTAATCGTACCGTTGGAAAATCATATCATTTCTCATTATATTCTTCCCGTGAAACGCGGGGACTATCTTTATGCGGTCATAACCGATTACTCTATCGTACGGACTGGTCGGTATGATAATACTTTGATCGAAAGGTGGCTTCGTAATACCAGGTCGAGGTCCGAAGTCAGGTCATCAAGCTTCGAGTTCTAGGACTAATCAATGACAAGCTCGGTATCATTATCGAGCTCGTATCCAAATCGAACTACGGGGCGAGGCAAAATTATCGAGCCTAAGATGCATAGACCGACCCCAAATCAATACCAGACTCCATGTCAGAATCGAGCTTGAGTCAATATCGAGAATTTTGGTCAATATCGAGCTCACAGACAAGAGACGTTGCAACCACACTAGGAGAGAGAATCCTGGCACGAATTAGGAAAAAGCTAGTTCTTCGCGGGTTCCCCACTATATATTTTTTATTATATCTAAAGTAGGATCCCTCAACTATAAAGGGGATGATTGTTGTTTCTGTGAGGGGACATTTAGACATTGTAACAAAAGATTATTCCTTATATTGAAAGATCAATCCTTTGAGCTCTTTTACTTCATCTTATCTGGTCCATTTATTTTCTCTTTTCAACAGTTTTTATCTTTCGTTCTTATAGTCAAGATTGGATACTTATATTTCTCTTTACGATTTGTATCAAGCTATACCACATACCCTTAGAACTACGTACAAATTTAACTCTATCTGATTTTTTGGGTAAACAATATTTTAAGCGTAAGATTTGTGATTATTGCAACCTGAAATCATATATGAGGTACGAAAAATAAATAAAGTGATGCAGTGAATATGATGAAATTGAATGGGTAATACAATGACGTTACGAAATATAATAAGTGACACACTCCCTTTTACTTTTCTTTCCTCCAACTGACTGCGATGGAATTAAATGGTTAATGCAATGGGTGTAATGGAATTGTGAAATTAGGTTAATTATGGTTTGATCCATGATATCTAGAAAATAACAAAGATGGTCCCTTACGTTTGGAGGTAGTTCAAAGTGGTATCTTAAATATATTTTTGAACAATTTTAGTTTTTTAAGTTTGTCAAAATTAAGTACTTTTGCCTTTGTTAAATATGTAATAAATTCCAGTTGGTTGATTTAATAGGAACTGTGAAAAAAAAGGATTAACACGATCCCACATTTGGAAATGCAGCTTTTGCAATTTTTGCTTTTTTTTGTTTGTCTATTTCTAGTGCTTGGTGCAGTTTGTGATATTTTTTAAAATGTATTTTTGGTTTCTAGTACAAATTTTGGTATACATTGTAAATGATACATGAATCTAGGGTTAAGTACATCAGCATGCATTGTATGTTGTTTTTGAGTATTTAGCTGATTACGCTTTTATGAATCTTTAACTCATGCTCATAGTTCGTCTAGTCTAGATTTGGGGTGTAGAAAAAACCGATAAACCGCACCAAACTAATAATTCGAGTCAAATCGGGAAAAAAAACCCCGATGTGGTTTGGTTTGATTTGGTTTGATATTGAAAAATAAAGCCTCTAAAGGCAGATGCTGATACTACAAAAAAGGAAAGACTAAATATGCGAGAGTGTTAGTTGAAGTGAAATTAAACCAACAATACCCGTCAAGTATTAGATTTGAAAATGAGTCTGGAAAAATAATAGAGCAGGCAATCCATTATGAATGGAAACATGTTCTGTGTGAGAAATACAAGAATTATGGACATGACATTTATGAGTGTAGGAAATTTCTACAGGAGGAAAGAGAGAAGAATGAGAAGCAACAAAAACTGAAAGTACAGAAGGAGGTAGTTCAACAGAAAGAAGGGAAAGAGATACAAAATGATAAAGCAAAATAAATGGGAGCAAAGCAGCAACAAAAGGAAAAAATAGGGGGACAATAAGCAACTAGAAATGGGAAGGAATCCAGCTCAAAATTATGGGTATAAAGTTGAATAGTATGTGAGGAAACCAGTGGTGGTGCAAGAAGCATCATTGAAGATAGGTAATGCATTTGCTACACTAGGAAAGCAGCAAAATGAAGAAGGGGCAAGTACAAGTCAGACAGGGCAGAAGATGGAAACAATGGAGAATGGTAATGTAGGACAAAGGGGGAATGTAGTTGACAAGGGTGGAGGGAGCCCACCAACACATGGATAAATTTGTCTTTTGGAATACCAGGGGGCTAAATAATCCAGATAAACAGAAGGAAATTCATCTCTTTATGCATAATTCTCAGGTTGGATTATTTGGCCTCTTGGAAACTAAGGTTAAGAGAGCTAAGGCTCAGAAAGTTGCTCTTAACATATGTAATGGATGGTCCTATAGTACGAATCTAAGTCAACATAAAGGAGGAAGAATATGGCTCTTATGGAAGCCTTTGGTATTTGATATAAGCATATACAAAGTCACAGAACAATTAATATATTGTGGAGTACATCATAGAGGAACAAGGAGGAAATTTTCAATAACAATGGTCTATGGATTCAATGATGCTGCACTACGAAGGAAATTATTGGAGGATATCAAGGAGATTCATGAGCATATGGATGAACCTTGGGCAGTCATGGGGGATTCAACTATGTCCTGCATAAAGAAGAAAGGATTGGGAGTCCAGTTATAATGGCAGAAATAAGAGAATTCAAGCAATGTGTGGAAGAATGTACATTACAGGATATGAAGTCTTCAAGGGCCTTCTTTACGTGGAACAACAAACAGGGAGGTAATGACAGAGTATATAGTAGGATTGACAAGGTGTTGGTCAATAATGAGTGGATATTGGCTTTACCAGATTCAGAGGTATACTATAGGAATGAAGGGACATTTGATCACTGTCCTGCAATAATTAGATGGGCAGAAGATCAAAAGAAGCAACATATGTTCAGATACTTTAACATGTGGAGCATGGCACCAGATTGCAAAGAGACAGTAAAGTAAGGCTGGAAGACAAACAAAACTGGGACCAAAATATATGAGTTGGTGGGAAAACTAAATAACCTGAAGGGGAAATTAAGGCAGCTAAACAAAGAGAAGTTCAGTCATATAGAAAAGAAAGCAGATCAAGCACAAGAATAATTGTTGCAATGTCAACAAAGAATGCAGCAAACACCTCTTAATCTGGAGCTACAAGAGGAAGAATCAAGGCTAAGCAGGAAGACTAAGAGATTGAATGAAGCAAGACATCAATATTTGAGACAGAAAAGTAAGGTGCAGTGGCTGGAAAAAGGGGACCTAAATACCAAATTATTTCATAGTATGATGAAGGCTAGAAGGAATATGAACAGAATCTTCTCTATAACAGATACACATGGAGTCAATCGAACTGAGGTGGATGTAATTGCAAAGTCATTCCAAAGGGCTCTCATGCTACAAGTGTGGGAGATTACAGGCCTATTGCAGGGTGCAATACAATATACAAGGTGATATCTAAGATGTTATGTAACAGGCTCAGATTGATACTACCTACACTGATTTCTGCGAATCAAAGTGCATTCATTGCAGGAAGAACCATAGTTCAGAATGTTCTGATATGCCAAGATTTGGTAAGATTGTACAACAGGAAGAACACTACTCAGAGTTTCTTAATCAAGATTGATCTAAAAAAAATATATATGATAGTGTAGAATGGTCGTTTGCGGAAGAAATGCTCCATGCAATGAATTTTCCTCAGAGATTCATTAAATAGATCATGGCATGTATAACTACTACTCAGTATAGTATTACTATAAATGGAGGACTATATGGGAGTATAACAGGAAAAAGAGGTCTAAGACAGGGTGACCCCATTTCACCTTTGCTATTTGTAGTATGCATGGATTAACTAACCAGAATCTTGAATAAAGTTGCTGATAAGAGGGAGTTTGGTTATCACACGAAGTGTAGGGGGCTAAAACTGAATCAATAATGCTTTGCGGATGATATATTGCTATTCTATAAAGGCAATTATCAATCAGTAATGTTGATTTTAAGAGGTCTGCAGTCTTTTGCAAATACATCAGGTTTGAACACTAATGAAGGAAAGTCCAATATTTTTAGTGCTAACATGCCAAAATAAGAACTGGAAGATTTATGTGAGGCAACTGGATATCAGAAAGGGTCATTGCCATTTAGATACTTAGGGGTTCTAATTTCAGCAAAGAAGTTATCAATCATGGATTGTGAAATCCTAATAGATTAGATGACTGCTAGAATAAAGTCCTGGAGCTCGAGGAACTAGTCATATGCTGGTAGAGTTCAGCTAATCAATTCAGTTCTGCTACATGTTCATACATACTGGTCATCAATATTTATCCTACCAAAGTCTGTTCTGAAGAAGCTGACTGCAATATGTAGAAACTTCTTGTGGGATAGGAGAGAACAGACTAATTAAGCTCCATTGATTGCATGGGATATAGTATGTAGGCCAAAGCACAAAGGAGGACTAGGGGTAATGGATTTCATGGTATGGAATGAGGCAGCAATTACAAAGTATGTGTGAAACATTGCTCAAAAGGCTGACAACTTATGGGTGAAATGGGTGGATCACATATACATATGGGTGGACCAGCTGGAAACAATATGTGCCACCAACTGATTGTACTTGGTATTGGAAGAGAATATGCACTATAATGGAAAAGTTCAAGAGAGGATATAGGGGGGATGAATGGCAATAAGTAGGTGGAGGGTATTTTATACAAAAAGAATACCAATGGAGGAAAGGGGAGCTGAATGAGTGGCCCTGGGCTAGATGGATTTGGAACTCTATTAATGTTCCAAAATACAGTTTTATCAGTTGGTTAGTAGTTCATAAAAGACTGTTGACAAGGGAAAGACTGGAAAAAAATGGAGTATGTAAACAAATAAGGTGCGAAATGCGTGGTGGAAGTAAAGAAACAATTGAACACCTGTTCTTCTAATGTCATTTTTCGAAGGAGTGCCTGAGAATTCTGTTGGAGTGGCTAGGATTGGGGATAAATGAACTAGATATTGATGGCTTGTGGAGAAGACTAACAAGAAATGTTAAAGGTAAAATGTACAGAAAACTCATTATAGCAGTTGTGGCAGCGTTGATGTACAAAATATGGCAGGTAAAAAATGATGCAATATGGAATAACAAAGTACCACGTCCAATGGTCATTTGTAAACAAATCCAACAAGAATGCAAAGTTAGATTGAATATGTAAAATATTAGGAAAGAGGGGAGAGATAGAAGGAAATGGATAGAGGAATTGTTTAGCAAACAAAGATAGGGAAATTTTGCGGCAAGAAGAAATTTACCTCTAGTCTGTACAGTTTAGAAGGAATGTGTATATTTGGTTGGTTTGGAGATTAATAATAGTTTTCTTCACACCAAAAAAAAAAAAGAAAAATAAAACTCGACCATAATTGGTTTGATTTGGTTTTAGCTAAAAAAAAGTTAAACTGAAACCAAATTAACCACATAGTACATTTATAGAATTTTTAAAAATATTTTATACATATAAATATTTATTGTAATGTAATTTATAAATATTTCTTATACTTTTTCACAGTTTTATCTTTTAACGTATTATTTCAAGTTTAGACTTAACATTCTTGAATGGTAAATAAATTTTAAAGCCCATAAATATAGTAACTCAACCAGTGTTTTAAAAGGCGTGGGCGTAAGGCAAGGCGTTTTACATATGCCTCAGCGAGGCGTACGCCCCGTGGCACGGGGCGTAAGCCCAATAAGTATTTAATTTTTAATATTTTATAAAATAATATAATTACAGTAAATATTTATAAACATGTAAGATTGCATAACAATTGAATAAAATTATAAATATGTGAAAAATATATATGTAGATGTGCTCCATTCCCATAAAAAAACTAGTCAAAATAATTTATTATACGCTACTTAGAAGCACAAGTAACTTGAATCGAAAAGAATAAAGTTTTCTACATAGAGGAACAAAAATGATGACTAACCTGAACTTTGAACTTGCTGCTATGAAGGAGAATGTAGTTCTCTTTGTATTTGTAATTTTTTTTTGAAAATTTGTTGCTTTTAGGAGATATTAGCAGACTAGCGGACAAGATAAAGAATTGAAAAAGACCATGAATTAAGGCTTCAATCAATAAAAAAGATCTTTACTTTTAAATTTAATACATTTCAGTTCCTTTTTAAAACTTTTGAGTAATTACCAAGCTCACTTTTGAGAATTTAGGTATTATATGAAAGACTTATTCAACAAATTTTATTTTAATTTGAAAAAGTCTTTGGGGCTTATGTCTCAGTAAAAAAAATCGCCTCAAACGCCCGTGCGTACTCCCCGAATTGCTGGGCGTACGCCTCTTGAGACTTTCGCCCCACACCATCGCCTAAAGGTGTTTTTGGTGTGCCTCGCCCCCTTAGCTCACCCCGAAAACGCCTTTTAAAACACTGATGCTAACAAAAGAAATTCAATTCAATACTAGGAATGACGGTAGTGTTGAATAATTATTTTAGTTTTATATTGGTTTATAATGAAAATGCATAACTTAGTTTATCTTTTTCTTTAGTGCTTAGTTATGTAATTAATATTAGTACTTATTAGCTATACTTATTTAAGCATGACTTATATAGTATTTTTAGATTATGTTATTTTTCATTATGACTTACTTGTTTTATGTACTTTTATTATTTTATTTTTGTATAATGTTATGACTTATCTCATATTTTTATGTTAGTTTCTTGGAAAATACAATATATAGTTATACTAGGACTTAAGAAATATTTGGAGCACAAGTTACATATTTCATGCTATGAAGACTTTACCGAAAAAAATCCGAAAACTCGAAAAAATCCGAAACATCTGAGATTGAAAAACCCGACTTTGTTGGTTTGATTTGGTTTATAAATTTAAAAATCCAACACCATTTGTTTGGTTTGATAATTGAAAAATCCGAACCAACCCGACCTATGTGCACCCCTAGTCTAGTCTAGATACTCAACAGCTTAAAAGTTTATAATATTGCGAATTACCAAGGGGGCTTCTTGAATTATTTTTGTGAAACATTATTAAGTTGATTAAATTTTTCTAAACCTTTATTTTATTTGCTCACCATAGGATCTTGCTTTATATCTTATCAACTCTTGAGTTCGTATAAGATGATGCGTAGTAACGACACTTGTGATAGATTATGTGTGAAGTTATGCTATAGATTTATTGGAAAACCTTTGCGGAAGTTTCTGTTAATATAATTCAGTAGGTCCGCTTAGTAAGATATATTTATACTAAGGGTGTGTTTGGAAAAAAGGAAAATATTTTTCGAAAAATATTTTTTAATTTTCTCATGTTTGGTTGGCTTAAATATTTTGGAAAATATTTTCCTCCAATTAAAGAAAAATATTTTTCCTATCAAAAAAAGGGAAAACATCTTTCAAAACTCTTCTTCAACCTTTTCCACCCTATTTCCCA